AGATACCCAAAGGGCTTAGGTAGCACTTGGCTTCACCTACACCACACTGCAGTTAGGCAGCTGTGCGAAGCGGCAGCAGTGCATGGGTTCTAGATCTACCCAAGCTCATTTGTTCCAGCTGTCACCAGAAAAATGTTGCTGACCCTAGCTATTGAACATTCATTTTCTGCAGAGATAAATCACTGAAGCCTTCATTGGCAAAGCCCAAACTGTTCAGCTTTTGTCCTTCTCCAGTACTGATTCCATTGGGAGACATTAGCAGTTACAGCAATGTCAGTCAAACAGCACTTCAACAGCTTTTCAAGATTTCTTCTCTCCTTCCCTGCTCCTTGACAAATTTGTAAGCATTACTTACATAGCCCAAGAAGTGTAGTTGATTGGTTAGGTTAGCTGGAAGTCAAAATTTGCTGTTCCACCTCTGTTAATCAGACCACTGTACTCCATATGGTGTGCAATCACTAGACTCTTAAAAATCCCCTTTGAACAGACTGCAAGAACCCTTCTACTGCCCTTCCAATGCCACCTCTCTCCTTCATTCGGAGACTTCCAAAACATTTCGTGTCCTTGGTGGGTTGCTCAGCCTAAAAACAAAATCCAGGAACCCAGGGTGATAAAAGGTGCTCTCACCAAGACTGTATAGTCAAGAGGCATTTTGATGTTTGTTTAAAGTTAGTGGACACGCACACAACACAAAATCTACTTGCCACGATGTCTTAATCTCTTGCTAAATTTTCACCTGCTATCTCTGGATAACTGAGCTTCCAAAAGAGAGAGGGTAGCATACTAGAAATGATAAAAGTTTTAAAATTGTGACCTATTGATAAAAGCAGTATTGTGCAGGGAATTCATTTTTTTACTTTTTCAGAATAATTACCTGATTTTTTTTCTCTTCCTTTGCTTGGTATTTTAGCTGAGGAGCAGAGGAACAGGAGCAGAAAGCTAAGAGATGTTCATGGAAAGACAGTGGGACTAGAAACTCATGGAGTACCCCTTCAGAATGATATCGGCTAGGGCTAAGCACCTGCAAGTCTCCACCCAAGTCCATAGCCGTGTACAGAATATCAAATGATGGCTGCTGTGCAGTTTCCACCATAGATACAAATCCCTGTCAGAGTAGTTAATCTTTCAGGGTCTTGCTCTTTTACCCTCTCCAATGTATTACCATAATCTGCAAATTGTTCAGGAAGTGGAATTGTCAGTGGCTCCCTGAAAACTACAAAAACGGCATGGTGGTAGGGGCTGTGGGAAGCAAACAATCCTCACTCACCTAACCTCTGTACAGCACTGCACCAAATGCAAGGAAGAAGAGGGAGGCAGGGAAAAAAAGAAGAGGGGCATAGGCAGAACACAAAAAATACAAGTAGGTTCAATGGCAGTAAACTATCAGCGGGACTATTCAGTACAATATGTTTCTTAGTATTTCGTTATCCCCAAAATGAAATTAGCAATTGAGTGTTCATTAAAAAAAAAAAAAAAAAAAAAAAAAAAATCACTGTGTGGCATGGATATGACCACACATGGAATCCCCTTAATTTCCCTTGCTTCTCTTGACCCTGGTAGGTACTGGGGAACTCGCGGTGCACCGATAGAGATTTTGGGGGCCAATACCGATGGTCAATTTTTAAGTAGGCATATCGGCCGATATCAATCCAATTTCCGATACAGCTGCATGCAGCTGGCAAGTCTGTTGTGGCGGAAGAGGAGGGAAGGGACGTAATGGGGGGCAGGTCAATGCCCCCCACAGTGAGGGAGGGAGTGCGGCTGGGGCAGAGCCACGGCTTGTCTAGGGGACATGGGGAGGGGGGGCAGCTCCCACCATTGCACACACCCCAGGAGGGCGTGTGCCCTCCGGAACTGCATGGGGTGGGGTGAGCTGCAGCTGTGGGCTGGGGCTGTGCTGGGCTTTTCCCGGCAGGGTCTGAGGCAGGCTGTGCTCAGGGTGGGTGGCGGCAGCGGCACTGGGATGGGGGCTACAGAAAACCAGGATCCCTGGTCATCTTGTTTTGTAGACTTGGATGACCAAAATATCTGTCACTCTTCCTTCTAAAGGGAAGTTCCAGTTCTTGGAGCTTCCCACAGAAAACAACTGGGAGATTCCAAAATAGTGCAAAAGCACACTGCTATTCCCACTAATATATTAGTAGTTTCATTTTGATTATGAAAAAATGTGGATTTTGGGTTTGTTTGTTTTTTAATCCAAAAATTGTGTGTGTGTTTTTTTTTTTAATCAGAGAAAATCAAGATCCCTGAATATGACCCATCATGCCTTGCTAAGTGTCCGGTTTAAAAAATGCTGGTCAACACATGAGGATAAGGCACCAGTCACAGTATGCAGCACAACTTCCAAATCTGTTTTGTATGCTTCTGACATGCCTTCTACATTCAGCACCCTTATACATTCCCATAATTACCAACAGACCTTCCTGTCTCTCTGAAAGTCTGTCCCATGTCAAACATTTGGGGAATAGTCAGAAGTTATTCCTCCAAAGGATCTGTGTTTGTAATTATGATTACAAACAGCTGAGCAGTGTGCTGGGACAAGAACCTACATGTGATGACAGGTAAAGGTAACTTCTGCCCATGGCAGAAGAAAAAAATGTGTCTCAGTGCACCACAGATGAATTCCTGCTATCTGTTATACTAAAGGATATAGGATCCATACCCCAAAAAACTAGAAATTAGTACCAGTAAGTAAGTACAGGGATGGGGTAAGCAGAGATTAGTATATATTATCAACAACAGCAATGAGAGAAAAATACTAGTATAGAGGAAAGGCAGCATGCTTGCCTCAAGCCTGCAGACACACAACAATTACCTGCATACTCATGAATGTAGACATGCTCTGCAATATATACCCAAAAAAGCAGGAAAAAAGCTGCAAAAACATTAGCAGATCAAAGGTCCTGCAAAACAACTTAAAAACAAACACTCAAAGCCAGCAACACCATTTTATTGGCAAAATTTAAAAAATAGCTATTTCTAAAATATTATAAGAGCTAAAACGTATTTAATAAAGCAGGGCCATCCAAAAATACTCAAGAAAGATCCTATTTGAAGCTTGATCAATCGCAAAACACCAAAGGAAATAGCAAAAGATGAAGAACTATTTAGCAAGCATATTTTAAATCTCTGGAAACAAAGACAACATAAGCAGAGTAGGAAAAGGGAATTTGTAGCAGCCAAAGAATTGTACACGTAAATCCTTAGTGTACTGAGATAAGATGAGCCCCAGAGGTCTATTTTTTTTTTTTAAAGAGAGATGAGTTTAGATGGGTCAGCACTATTTCAGAATGAAATAGTTCAAACAGGATGAATGCTACTAGACTGTTTGAACTAATGATAAACAAAAATAAGGAAGGAGGCGCACACACTTAAATTAAGACAACACCTAGGATTTAGAGAACAAGTGAAACTGGTATACAGAAAGTTGTAAATGTCGGGAGACATCTTAGAAGAGGCCATTCTACTTTGAAAGATCATTTTAAAAAGCAATTATGAGATTCTATGTAGTCTGCCTGACACTTCCGTATCAAATGTGGGGAACATAAATCTGATTTAGTAAACTGATAGCCTCAAAGTCAATTTTGAGGGGAGAGGGGTGGGGGAATATCAGGCTTCTTTCTTTCATGTGTGTTCTCAAAAATACACTCAAGAAGAAGAGTTTTACTTTCCAGGGTTGGCTTTTATATAAGACATCAATGCAACTTTTACTCTGAACATGCTAAGGTGGAAGAACTATGGAGAGAATCTTGAATCACAGTTTTTAGACAGTAATATGCTTCAGAGAAAGAGGTAGGAATTATTTTTGTAGTGAGGTTTTTGTTTGTTTTAAAGAAATCTAACAACCATTTATACTAAATAACACTGACTCAGGGGATTGAGAACAGAACTAAGCTAAAAACCTGGCTCTGACTGGGTCACAACATAGTCTCACCAGTAACTGATTCTTTTTGCCTTGGTTTTTCCATGTGAAAAAAATAAGAAAACGCAAATGTACAGGTGCTGAGAGAATTGTAGACTTTAGTTGGCTTTATAGGAGTAGATTAGGGTAAGTAAAGCCAAGCATTTTCAAGCAGTTGAAAGAAATAGGAACAGGGAAGGAAAAAGATTTAAGTGTAGTTCTGAACTAGCTGCATCTAGTCTAGTTACAAAATGGTAAATAGGAGAACCACTTTCCATATCATCATCAAGGCCATTTTATATTATCAATGGGATAATCAAAGGTGCAATTTATTCTCAGACTGCTGTCCTTTTGCTCTAAATTTCAGTCTGAGCAGAGAGCCCCCCCCTCCCCCCAGCAATTTCCTAACCCCTTTTCTAAGTCTCTGGAAATGTGCATAAGATCTTTGCCCTGTAAAGATAGCCACTGGTTAGTGAATTTAATATTACAGAACATAGCAAGTGTAGAGATTAAGATGACTTTTTTTTTTTCTAAAAAAAAAAAAAAAAAAAAAAAAATTATAATCTTTTTCCTTTTACAGTTAATAACCATTTATAAATTTGTAGGCTTATAACCATGTTATTATTTGTAACATTCAGGTTTTTAACCATTTTGTTATATGCTATCATTTTTTCCAGAACCTACCTTATTGTATGCAACCAATATCTTTTTTGCACATTCAAAAATATTTTGTCAGTTGTTACTGGAATACCAGTTTTGTGTGCACCACTACTATTGCTTAGTTCACATTTTACTTGCTATACTTACAGATTAAAAATGTGATTATTGTTCTCTTATAACCATTATTTTAAACTACTTGTTTGTATTAGGATCTGAGGGACCAAGGTAAGTGCAAAAATGCTGTCCTATCTGGAGGTCAACAAGATTAATATTTGTGCAACTCAAAATGCAAAGCACTGTGCAAGAGCTAACTGTTCTCTTGAAAGATTCTTTTGCTTTTGAATTGAACTCAGTTTCCCATCTGCCTCCTCTCTCCTAAAGCATTCCTATTTTTCTACACATTTAAAAACATCATATTTTAACAGTTTATAATACTTACCTTTGTCACTTCCATAATAATAGAAGACTGTCCTACTAAGAGCACACCAACGCTTTTGCCATTCAAAGCCAAGAAAACTGTGGTCTGAAATTAAACAATTCACATTAGAAAGCCTTTACTGCATACAATTTCATACAAATACAATGCATACTTCCAGTGGGTAATGGAAAAGGTGTTTAGGTAAGAGACCTAAAACAAATGGTAAGAGGTAGATGAAGCGATTTGTAGTCAGGATGATAACAGAGAATAAAAAGCAGGGTAGAACTAAAGGGAACTTGAAAGTGAGCAAAGGGTAAACCAGGACAGGGTCTATTGTGTGGTATTAAATAAGCCTGTGCGAATAGGGAAGTATTTGATTTGAATTCGACCGATTCGGAGGACAGTGATTTAATTCAGATATTTAGATCATTTTCCTGAGTCGATTCGGCCAAATCAGCTTAGGAAGATTCGGTGCCGATTCGGAGAGATTCAGTGATTCGGTAGGCACAGCCAAGTAGCTGCAGGTTCTCCTGCGGCTCCTCTGGTCTGTGCCCTCCGGCGCCCCTTGTGGTCTGCCCCTGCCTCTCCCAGGATGGGGGGAGCCATGTAAGAAGCCCCCATAGCTGCCCTGCCCAGCCCAGGCCTTGTCCTGGCACTTAAAAAATAAAATAAAATAAAGCTCCATACTCACTGGCTACAAGAACGGCAATCCCCACTGCCCCGCACTGTGCGTGTGCGTGTGCGTGTGCGTGTGTGGAGGGGGGGGCTCTGCCATGAGCCCTCTGAGGCCTCAATCGCTGCTGCTACAACTGGTGAGCATGGGGCTTTATTTATTTATTTTTAAGTGCCAGGAGGCTGGGCATGGCAGAGCATCCATGGGGGCTTCTCCCGCAGCTCCCCTGGCCTCTCCCCTGGCAGGGGGAGCTGCAGGGGCTATATTCTGCTGACACTTGCCCAGCTGGCGTGGGAAGGGAGGGGGGGTACGATGCAGATGCGGGGGGGGGGGGGGGGG